TCACAGATATTTTTTTCTTATAAGAAAATGGATTTCCAAGTGAAACTGAGGCATGAGGACCCTTGTTTTAGTATGTTATCCTGTAAATGGACATGATTTATTTTCATATTAAAATCTTATTGTTGTAAGGGCACTTTTATCATCAATGCAAATATGACAGGTCCTGGTTGGATTTTCTGACTATATATACACATTAAAAAATAGTACAGTGGAAGAAATTGGATTATGGCATCAACCATGGGTGAGGGTGTTTTCAACACTTTCTCCCATTTAAATACTTCCTTTTCCAGCTGTTGATTCTATTTATTTTGTGTGCTAGAATACTATTTGATCACAAGAATTAAAAAGGCAATGCTCTTCTAAAACAACATGTTTGTTCTTAGAATTCTTTGTGCAATTTAAAACATAAAATAAAACAAATTAATTTGTTCGTTATATATGTTTATTTAACAGAAATTTAGCAATGCCTAGGAAGCCTGAAGGTATTTGGGTTGGTAGCACAGCTGCTGAATTGTTTCGTATGATCATTTGTGAGATATTAGCCTAATACATTGGTAGACAAGTTCATAGGTTTGTTTTGTTAGCACAAAAGAGCCTGGAAAAATCACATTGAGTTCTTTTGGTCATTTCCCAGTCTAAATCATTTTAGAAGCTATTAATTCCCATAGGAGTGTAGGTGTAGGTGTGGAGACATGACTTCTTAGAATATAAAGAATGCCTTTCTCTCTCACACATAAGCAGAATCTGAAGATGCTATTATTTTCATGGATGAAAACACACAAATACAGTACATAGAGTGTGTTTGCCTATGAGAGTACTCTGCTTATGTGTGAGAGAGAAAGGCATTCTTTATATTCTAAGAAGTCATGTAGGATGCAGAAACAGAAAATAATTTGGATCTAGATTGCAGAACTCGTAAACTAGAACACCTAGTTTGATTCTTCAGTTTCAGAAGTTAAGTATGCGCTAAGATCTCCCTCTATTGTAATAAATGGAACTTAAAGGTGCTTTTTTGGTAGAGTTTTAAGTGTTAGCATATGGCAAAATAAAATCCATTGATAATCTGTTTAAATTTCATTATTTACCTGTCTGTTGGAAGCTATATTCATTTGACCAAGAGTGAATACAAACTTTAATGAATCTTTTTTGTCATCTTGAAAATACCTTTTTGCACAGACACAAAGTCAGAGAAAGAATCAAGCTGTTCACCAGCAGCTCAGGAACTGATGACAAGACTTGGATTTTTACTGGGAGAAGGACTTCCAGCTTCTGCCCATATCTCTGCAGAACAAAAACATGAAACTATGGTATGCTAATGGAAATATAAATAATCATCTCAATCTAAGATGCTACATATTTCTTGCTTTCAAAATATTTAACCAGAACATGCAAAAGTGTCATACAAATAACTACTATATATATATGTGTGTGTGTGTGTGTGTGTGTGTGTGTTTGATAATTTTTTTGATAAATTCCTCTGTTCCTTTTTCTGCAGGAACATTATTTAAAAGTGCACTGTGTAGAATTTATTTTATTTATTTGTCAAATTTACATAGCCGCCCATCTCACAAAACAAGTGATTCTGGGCAGCATGCAACAAAGCTAAAACAGTTAATAAATACCTAAAACAATAACATCATC